GGTTCATACTTGACCCTACATTCAGGTTTGTGTCTGGATGGGTCCATTAATTGCAAATGAGCTGCATCTAGAGCCTATTAATGAAGATGACAATGCCTGGCAGCTGGCGCATCCATCTCATAGATCTCCACCTCATCGTCAGCATGTTTGGTGGATGTAGATGATGATATTGTATGCTTGTCTACTAAATGAGATGATGCTGTATGCTTTCTAAATGAAGTTGATGCAATACCTACCAGATATGAATGATGAGGTTTGCATACATCACTAAATATAAATATAAATAACACACCTGGATTGATTTCATATGTCTAAGTGGACACACCTAGATCACAGGCCATGTAAGATCCAAAGAGGAACTCTGCGACACAATATAGACCAAATTGTTGATCTGTGAGCATGCCCATAATGTTCTGATGATACTTGACAACATCATCCTATGTGAGGACTGACCAATCGGTGTTGAAGATGCCAGCTTTCTACACATGTCCAGAATGAGTGCTGGCTAGACCTATACAAATGAGAAGGAGAGGACCAATGCCTTTGTTGCTGTGCTTCTTGTTCCAAGGCATGGAGAAAGTCTACATATTGGAAAAATAATCATGGAGAGGACTGGAGCAATCAAACACAACTATGATATACACCAGGACCATAGCAATGAACTGAGCTGCGACTTTATACCCTTTGCAACTGGTGTTCAACCAAGTCATGGTGTGGATGGCCTTGTTGAAACTATATATGGTAGTGTATTTGCCATAGTCGGAATGATTGTTATTATCATAAAAGAGATTAGGGATAAACTTGCTAACATATATCCCTATTACCATGGCAAGCTAATGAAGGGGTTTAGATGCATCAAACTCGGCAAAAGCCCACTAATAAGCCTGATAAGTGATAGAATCCACTGAGAACTCCTCAGATGGGACAGTGTGAGGAAGAAAATCTGGCAAATTTTGAAGAGTGATAGAGCAAGCTGACTAAGCAGCACCAAATCACAGGCTTGGGCACATTGCAAAGCTTCTGCTGCACCATTATTACTCTGGGAGGCAAGAGATTTAGCTGATAGAAGCTGAGTTGCTTTGCCCAGATTGATCTATGATTGAAAGTGAGGTTTACAATACTGGCCACCTTGACCTCCAGAGAGACACCAGGAGATGTTATTTATGTGAAGGTGATTGGTAGCAATAATAAAAGCATTTTGTAAAAACATGCACCAGCCACAATTTCAATGAAGAGATTGGAAATGGTGAAAGCTTCAAGACAATGTACAACTGGAAAGGGAAGTCATGCCAAGGCAGGAGGAGCTCTGGGAGCCATCTCACATGAACAGAAAAGAGGCTACAGAGCTATTGGAGTTTTGGTATGATCGACAAGAGAACTGCCAAGACATCACATTTGAGTTTCATGGATAGTGGAGCAAGGCTGATAGGGAAATTAAACCTCCTGCGGCATGGAGTTGGGAGTCTGAAGTAGATGAGCAGGGGACAAAACGGTCCAACTGGACAACCAGGATGATGGCTGTTATTGGCCCTGAAACCTCTGATGACAAAGATAACCAGCTGACACCACAAACATTAAAGGAAGGTGTTGGATGGGTGAGGAATTGTCGGGTGTCATACATCCGAAAAAGGTTGATTCAACATGCCAAAACATCTTATGTATCTAGCAAACTGGATATGGATACAAATGATGAAACATCGGTAGTCCAAAAGGACAGAGAATTGGTGAGAAAGTTGATCAAGAGGTCCAGAGATTGATGTAACACTTGGATCGGTGTTGGGCTCATATCCTGCCAATCTCATAAGTATTCCACATACACACTCCTCAACACCCCTCTTACCTTCCAGGAGTTCTGTGCATTCGTCCAAGTCGTCCAAAGGTTGTCCGTCCATTTCCAACGCCTGCATACACTTCTGAGCCTCCATACCATGTCTCGTCCGTATCCATTTGACTTCACTGGTGCATTTTTACCTTGTTAATCTGTTATTGATTATGTCTTAGGGGCACATATGTTGTCGGCCCGTTGAAACCTTTGGTTAATACGTATAGCAGCACGCCTCACATGTTATTACATGCATATCTCTGTAGCAGCTCGCCTCAAGTCTTATTACATTTTGGATGGCTTATCTCGCTACTGGTTTCGCCTACACAGTTTCTGGACTTTCACGCTATAGGATATAATCTGCCTCGCTAGCTACTCGCACTTCACTTCACTTTCCCTGCTACGAGTCATAGTTAGTAGAGTCACTTTCGGATAGTCGTACTTCGTGCAATTGATCTTTTGTTCATTCGGAACAATTGTTTGGCCTGACTGCTGCCATTTCGCATCTCACTGTCTCTAAGTTCTTTCGATAGACTTTGCCTAGTCATACTTCGCAAGTCTTATACTTTGACACACCTGCCGTACTTCTCTTGGAACCTTCACTATTCATTGGAAGCTCTTCGGACACTTTGCGCAACCTTGGACCTTTGTTTCTTGATGTCGGACCACCTTCGGACAACTTCGGACCAGTACTTCAGTACTTCGGACACATCCTCAGAACACCGACTGCACTCTTGGTAGCTTTTTCTTCTCTCACCTTCGATCTTAACAAGATATCCCTTACATTATATCAAGGAGCATTTCTATAGGCAGTCTCTTTGGGATGAACATTGCACTCGCACATTGAGTTCTTAAGGTAACATATTTGTAGCACCCACATAGAATCAACTCTTTACATCGAGAGAGACATCTCACAGAGAATGGACAGCTCAATTCACATATGACAGGTGTTCATCTTGCCTCTCGGGCAAGATCTTATACTGAAGCCAGTGACAATCCTGGTGTGACAGAACCATCGGCTTCCTGGGCACTGCCGACCCCAGTGGACAATCCTTGCAGGGTGGGCCCAGCATCCCATCCCACAGGCAAACTGCAGCCAACTTTGGTCAGTCCTTGTGGAGAGGTCACCCAGAAAACAAATATGAGGCAGATCATCGGACACCCAAATGGTAGAAAGAGTCATGGCAATAAAGACAAACAGAACAAGCTGCCCAGTGATGAACATCAGATTAGAATTAAGGCGAGAAAACACCCTGCTGAAGAATCATTGCCCGAGTCTCCTGCCAAACAAACTAGAAGTCAAACAACTGACAGTTGTGGGAAGAGATCCAAGAAGCCGAACCCTTGGTATGCTGGGAATGTTTGCTTGTGAAAGTGTCATCGGAAAAACATTGCCATTGTATGACAGCCATACACCCAAAGATACTTTGTATATAAAGTGGCTCAAAAAAGTATCTGAATGTTTATAGCTTTTCATGTAATTGCTTTACCATGTGTCAGGGCATGGAAATATGACTAAGCTATAGGGAGATATCAGATAGGTCTGCTTCTCTGCTTTAGCTTTGTCCCCTATAGTGTGAAAATATAATGATATTGTGCGAAGATATAAATATTTTAAAATGATGACTCATTTGGATACTTTTTTGACTTTGACTTTGACTACTACAATCTCTACAATTCTGGTACTTTGTGTGATCTCCTTTTGCCCTAATCAGATCTTTTGATCACTATATTTTAATTTGTCAGGCTGCTAATGCTACCAAGGCCACTAAATTGATTATTTTCATCATCTCCATAACCATGCACACTCAAGTAGTCAGTAAGACTCTCAAGACAGCCAATTTTAAAGCTATAACTAAGAAAAAAAATCCTTCTGCCTTCAACCTATAGAAAGAGAAGATAAGCTGTTGCTTTAAAGCACAAATACTGGACTGCTAATGTCTAGAAGAGGGTTATCTATTTATATGGGACTAAAATCAATAAAATGAGATCAAGTGGCCAGAAATTTGTATTAAAAATGATAGGAGAACCATCAAGATAAAGAGAAGTCAAACAAACACTTAAGTTTGAAGGAGAAAATCTGACAGTATGGGGCTGTATGGGATGAAATGAAGTAGGCATTTTCTATAAAGCTGAGGGAAGGATGAATGTAGAGCAGTAAATCTTCATTTCATAAGAGTGTCTGCTAAGAAGCATGTAGGAGTCATGGGTTAATGATGAAGATACTATTTTGTCACAAGATAATGATCCTAAGCATACCTTCAAATTGGCTATCAATGGCTTGGAGACCATGATATTACTATTCTATCATGTCTAGCACAAATCCAAGACATCAATCCTATTGAATATCCCTGGGAATCACTCAAGAAATTGCTTGTAGCATATCAAAATCCACCATAGGGGCTATTTTAGCTATGGACCAGTGTTACAGCAGAATGTGATAACAATACTAAGGATAAATACCAGAAATTAATAGAGAATATGTCTAGAAGAGTGGCAGAAGTGATTAGGGCAAAAGGAGATCACACAAAGTACCAGAATTGTAGAGATTGTAGTAGTCAAAGTCAAAGTCACTGCCGGACAGCGTATCGGCACTAAAGCAATGGCACGACGACGCAATGAACAGATGTTGGAAAGAGCAATGGAGGAAATCGCCATGTCACGCGAGAGCAAAGAACATAGACCCCACGATGCCATCAAACAAATTCATCAAACTCGTTGCCCCAGTCCCAAAACGCAAAGCCAGCGTGTACATCCAGCTTCACACCCATCACCTCCCCCTCAATTACCACTTACACCGCATAGGAAAACATGACTCACCCCACTGCCCAATGTGCCCCGGCATAGACGAAACTGTTCACCACTACCTCTTCAACTGTCCACAATACGTACAAGAACGTCACCAATTCGCCAACACTCTCCGCCGTCAAGCAACATCTATCTCATTCATCCTCACAGCTGAAGAAGCCACCAAGCCGCTCATGCGCTACATCGGGAAAACAGGCAGATTCAAGCCAACGTTCGGTGAGATCTCGGACAAATAGACAGTTCACACGAATCACCCGCTTCACAGTGTACCACCACCCCGCACGAATATACTCAAGACATCACTTAATCAATCTAAACCAAACCTAATCATCTCTGAGCCTAGAGGGGAAACGTCTCGCCGGTCGAGACATCATTGTAGGAAAAGAAGCGGCTTCTCACCAAGCCCCATCGCACCACTCCACTCCCTCTGTATGAAATCAGCGTCGGCCTTTGCCCAACACCATGCTGACAGAGTACGTGTTTTACCATTGACGAAACCACAGCATACACATACACACATACTTACAGTAGAATAGGCGGGAGCAAGCCCCCCGCGATTAGGGCTATGTCCAACATAGGGTCCTTGACCCCAGCGGACAATAAAATTGATTTTTTTTAAAAAAAAAGTCAAAGTCAAAAAAGTGTCCAAATGAGTCATCATTTTAAAATATTTATATATTTGCACAATATCATTATATTTTCACACTATAGGGAACAAATCTAAAGCTGAAAAGCAGATCCAGGCTTCAGCAAATCACCCAGAATGTGTCTGTTGGTGTGGAGAATATCCAAGGGAACATGTGATCCATTCAGCCTAAAGACTGCATTCTCCACTGTAGCATGGATATGTTTGTCTGCTACAATGGCATTAGTTGAGGGTGATCATTAGCACAACAGATTACTCACACATGTCATTTCTGATGGCCTTCATCCAGCAATTCAGTCTGAGTATATCTTGTCTCAGTTCATTGTCTTTATCTATGGCTGTGAGAGGCAAACCTATTAAAGTCCAAAAAAAAATTATTTACCTTCAGGAGATAGCTCCTGGCTCTCATGTGTCAGATCTGTTGCTATGCGTGATGAAGGTGCTGAGCTTAACTTAGTAAATGGTCCATGGCTCCCTAGTTTAATAAATCAACATGAGCTGGATTCGGGGTTGCTGAGAACTTACATTGTGCCCAACCAAGGTCATAGGTAGGCTCCTCATTGCTGGTGAGTTCAATAACATCTCCATCAATGACTTTGGTGGCCACAGATCCATCATCCTGTGTGAGGTCAATGAAGTCTTTGTCCATCAGCTTTGCACCTGATGTGGTATGACACCACCTGAGATCATTTGCTCGGTCATTCTCATCCAGCGCCAAATCTGGTCTGTCATCCTGGGTAAGATCTATGCAGTCCTGCATCGGCTCTGCGCCCAAAGTTGTGCCATCCCACCCAAGATAGTAGGTCCAGTCATCGTTGACTGAATCTGAGATAGAGTGTGCTTCCAATTCATGATTGGTCGACAAGTTTGTCCATCCAAGATCATAAGCCAGTATATTGGCATCAGATTCTGCTATCACACTTGTCAATACCAGCAGACATCAATATAAGAACAAATGCTCATACTGTTACCACTGGGGTATGTCGAGCTGTCTTAGTCCGAGTGGACTGAGATTCGGCGAGACAGACGTGGTTCTTCTCTCGAATGAGAGGTCAGAGGTTTCTGGCTAAGGCAAGTATCGGCGACTTCCTTAGAATAGTGGTTCTTAGATAGCAAGGTTGGGGACCTTGCTAAAGGACTAGTTCCAGGTAGAACCCAGTAGATTAAAGTGAAGAACTACATGTGGTACGCTATGTATCTATATAGCGAGAGTTCAAGCGGAGCTTGTAAATGTGTATCAAGATAGAAGGCGGACAGCCCGCTTGGTGGACGATAAGAGATAAGAGATAAGAGATAAGAGATAGTAACCATGGTGCGGACAGCCCGCTTTGATAAGAGATGATCGGCTAAACATAGTGATGGTTGCTAACACGGAAAGTCAGCTTAGTGATGATATGAGTAAGAGTCTGGAAAGTAATTGGTCGTTCATCAACAGCTGTGTTTAAGTACCATTGTCCGGTAACAAAGGAGAAGCGAAGAGAATTAGTGTGCCGTAACACATACCTCCAGTTTCCTCTGAGGTCTGTTTGGTGACGTTTGATGCTGTGGTAGCTTGACTGGCACCAGTGGGTGAAGCCTTTTTTGGTGCTAGTAAGCCTCACCTGAGATCATACAATGGTCCAGATTCATCTTGAAGTTGTCGACATTGTTGGTTAGGATATCAGAAACTGCAACAAACAACTCACCAGTAGTGTCATCCTCTTTGGAAGTTGTACTGGTCTCCAGTAATAAATGGGGCAGAATGCTCCACCCGAGATCATAGGACGGACCTTCAGCTATAAACTGATCCACCTCTTCCTCTTCATCCACAGACTCTGGAGTTGAAGGATATTCAGGTGACCACAACTGAGATGATTTCTAATATTTGACAAACATTGCTGTAAGTAGTTGATTCAATCAGAGTCCAGGAGATATAGAAGACAGGACTTACCAGAAAGTTCTTAAATGACATCTTCGACTCCGGTGATATGCCAGTCACAGAAATGTACTGGAAACAGCAGGAATGTTTTTCTTGCAAGACTTCAATATAAATAGCAACACATGCCTAGAGGAGGTGCAGAAAATCAATGATGTCAATATTTTGGGACTTATAGGTGTAACCACAAAGGTGCAAAAGGATAGAGCAGTGGCAAAGATGAATGCATGGCGAAGCAATGAGTCAGAATCAGAAGAATATTCTCTTGGTTGGATGCCAACCTGGGCTAGACTCAAGACAGCCATCGCACAATCACCTACAATGATCATGAGACGATGGTCATGGACGTCCAGGTTGTCCAACATTCAATTCAATGTTGCACATTTGGTTATGATATTTATAAGGCATATGTGGCTCATGCTGATGGAAGATGTCTTAAAAGGCATCCAACCCTATCCTAACACACTTAGGGAGGCCATGATGTGCTGGACAATAACAAGTATCGATGATACACTCGCTTGTGTTGCTTTTGAAGCCTGCAATGCTGGTTTGCATGACCATACAGGCGTAACTGCAGGTCACTTAGGTCCCAAGTCAAGAGCCTTTGTGGACAGATGTTCATTATTCTTCCCTGACCCTGATGCTTCCCACAAGTGCAATGCTCAGTGGTGTTCACTATGGGAAGAACATGGATATATTAGAGAATTTCATAAGACAATGAAGAAATTAGATGAGGATCAGCAGGAATCACTGAAGCAAGGTTTACACGATGTATTTCCAGAACTTCACTGTCTACCTGCAAGCGGTGCCAGAGTGTGAATCCAAAAGAATGATGTCATGGTGTTCATAATGAATCATGTGTTTTACAAGATCGACCATGTTGGAAGGAGCAGCCAGAGTCAGAGGAGAGCTCCAAGAGTGCCTCGTACTATGAAGATTATCAAGGGAAAGTGCATATTTGTGGCTGATCTGATGGATTCGCAACCATTCGACACTGATGGGAATCTGAGAAGGAAGACAGAGCGGCAAAAGTGTCAGAAGATTCACAAAAAGATGACTGTGGCCAAGAGAAACAAAAGGGTACCCCTGTCATATCCCACATTCCAGACCCGGACCTATCACACATCATTTCCGGACTTCTGGATCCAGCCAACTTCTATCTATCGTCCGGATCTGACCCGCGTCTATCTTCCGTGCCTTATCCCTTTGTACGTTCCTTCTCCAGTTAGACTATACTCATTTTCCGTACCTCGTTTCATTTCTGCCTTTATTTTCCTATGTCTTCATCTCCGGCTTCATTTACTATTTTCCGATAGACTAGTGTTTGACTTTTCTATATGCTCCGTCCACAGCCTCGCATAGTTTTGGACTGCACAGACTGACTCTCTGTTAAGTCCTCAGTAGTATATAAACCCTGTAGAATCTTTGTACTTCTTCAGTTCGAATATTATCTTAGACTCTGCTCATTCCCTTCTCCGTCCGACTTGAGTTTCTCCTCTCGTCGTCCTCCGCTAGTCTTAGGATCAATTCCTATAGACTTCTCACCTCCGCCTCTACCTCTGGTAGTCCTCCACTGTTTCCTTTCTAGTTCGGACATCGTCCGGATTAGTCTTATCCTTCATTCCCGAACGTCCACCGGAATTCCCGCACATCGGACATCGGACTCTGGACTCGTCCGACAACCTTTGGACATTGTCCAACAGCCCTCGGAAGTTAGGGGCACATACTCGGGTAAGGGGCGCAGCACACGAGCTGAAGCCAAGCCCTTCGGATCCGACCCTTGAGCACGTTCTTAACAACCCCCTTCTCCACATCAGAACATGTGGAAAGAGATGATGAAATGGATGTTGATTAGAATATGTATATAAAGTTGTATGAGATAAATACATCATGTTTGCTGCCAGCCAGTGAAAGGTAATATAAGTTGAAGCTCAAGACCTCTTTATGTTCTGACAACATGAAATGATGATTGAATGTTTCTTATGAAGGTGAATGATGATACAATATCATATACATGTGTAAATGGATGTCGATTAGAATATGTACATAATGTCATATCATATAAATGCATCATGCATGCTGCCAGACAGTCAAAAGTAATCTGATTTGAAGCTCAAAGCATGTTTTCATTTTGACAATATAAAATCATGATTTAGTGTTTCTTATGGATGTGTATGCCAATACAATAGCATATACATGTGTATAGTGGTATATATGTAACTGAGAAATAGAAACATCAATGTCATGGACGACCTGTTTAAAAATATGATTGCATCAATGTGAAACTAAATTAATGAATGTCCCCAGTCATCACCTTCCTCTTTGTTCACATAAACTAATTGACAGATACAGCCAAATCAATGGCAAATTTGGCAAGAAAACTTTGATAGAGTCCAGTGCTTCCTGCCTCTCTGACCAGATGGAGGGAGATATGAGGTTGGGATGGGTGGGACTGTAAGGCTGGTAAGTGAGTTTGAAGGGGAAAGTGGACAAGGACAAGTTCAAGGATGAAACAAGAATGAGATGATATGACGGCTGAGGCAATGTTTGAGGCAAAGATGTTTGAGATGGACATGTTCTAGGAGGCTTCTGTGAGGTTTTTGGAGCAGGAACTGGTGTATTTCACTACTATCAATGAGAGTACATGAGCTGTATATATATGTGGATGGTAAGGGACCTTGGGCATAGAGAATAAGTTTTAAGATGAAAGATGAAAGATGAAAGAAAATAAAAAGACACATAGTGGCTTTTTGATAGTTTTTGGTGGGGCGAGAAGAAAATGAGGAATAGTATTAATGAGAAAAGGGGAAAGGCCGTTCTGGTTGTTATCTTACAGGACCCTTATATGACAACATTTATAGACACCATGTATAGTGAAGACTCTATTTTGCTTTTAAGTCTTTTAAACTTTATTTTGTGTTATTAGGAACTTGTTCCAAGTACTATTGAGCTCTATTAATGTGATAGGAACACTTTGTTTGTCAAAAAAAGTCATGTTGGTTAGTTCAGTTGACTGACAGCCTCTGTTCAAGTTTCATTTTTTGTGTGTTCATGTGATTGGCCAGACTGGAACCAGGACTTGTTTTAAATATTATAAGACCTGCTAAATGGACTGGAAACATGTGTTTGTCCATGAAAAATAACCACCCCTATTGTGCTGCCTCCGTATTTTTCTGCTTATGTAAGCAGGCCCACCTCAACCAATGATTGATTTTTAACCTTCATATAACTTGCTTGGCTTCAAATATATCTTTAATTTGGGGTTATTGGGCCCTCTGAATATGATGGTGACACCCTTTTTGTTCAAAAAAATCACATTCCAAAGTTATGGATGTCTATAATGCTGAGGTCCTCAACCCAAGGTCAATTGTTTCAGCCTTTATATAACTTGATCTCAGGCTCATCATCAAGGTGATTGATCCATATATATTGAGCAGCAACAGAAATATTTGATCTATCAAGTCTTGTTCTAAGCCCCCACCTACTCCACCAAGAGGCATGATTTTATGTTAATACAGATGTACTAAAGGATGTTCCTAGTGTTTAATGATGATACAAATAGATTAGAGATGGATTCAGAGTGTTCTGAACCAATATGAAATGTGATGTGTGAGTTTGTCTGATACCCCCCTCAAAGATTGATTTTTCTAGGCTTCATATTATTTGTCAGTACTTCAAAAGTATTCTTCCTGAAGGTTCTTGATGCCTCTGAACATGATGGTTGAGCCAGATTTATCAGGAAAAATCAGGTTGTTGAGATATGCAGGGTCCTCCTCTCTCTCCTAACTGATATATCTTGCTATTATGTAAATACTGGTATGTAAATGGGTGTTCCTACTGTTTTATTATCATATAAATCAATTAGAAATGATCCCAGAGTGATTTGAGCCCATTCTGATTAAGATATACAAGTTTTCATGGTACCCCCCTCAAAGATCAATTTTTTTAGGCTTCCCATGACTTGCTTGTGCTCTAGAAGTATTTTTCCAGAGTACTATGGATGTGCCTAAACAAAATAATTGAGCCCAATTTGTCAGGAAAATCAGGTTGTTGAGATATAGAAGGTCCTCCTTCCTCCTCCTACCCCATATATCTTACTACACTCAAATTTTACTCAAAACCAATACTACAAATGGTGGTTAGACATAATAGGACATTGATATCATGGTCTTTGAGCTGCTGGTAACTAAATTGAAAGCTCACTCCACATGACTAAGGATCTCACATTTATCATATTCTAACTGGACAGGCTGCTAATGCTACTAAGGCCACACAATTCATCAATTCTATCATCTCCAGCACTGTTTATACTCAAATAATTAATAATAATTTCAAGGCAGCAAATATTAAAGTATTGCTGGTCATCTGACTTCATCATATTTATTTTGATCAAATCTTATAAGATAATTCTCTTCAAGTCCTCTTTTAGTCTAATACTGGAGCTTCAAAGCTAGAGTTCATTTTCTCTTTCTATAGGCTAGAGATGAGAGATCTTTTTCTTCTTGATTGTAACTTTAAGAAATTTTTTCTCTTCTTGGGCTGGTACATATGTTAGAGGGATGCCCAAGGATTAATATAAGCCCAGAATGAAAGGAAACAGTGGGTAGATAGCAGTGATGCAAGACAATTGCCTTTTGAGAGCAGTGATGGAGGAACGGTTGCACCCCATGGGAATAAAAAGAAGGAGACATGCAGGGACGGTTACATATATTGGAAATGAAAAAAAGAAGGGGTGATGTAAAGAGATTGCCATTTCTGATGAAAAATGAGATGGATGGGTAAAAAGAAGCAGTGATGCCCCATATAAAGCTAGAGCAGTGACGGTGACAGGTGGAGGGGTGCAAAAGCAGAAACAGATATATAGTCTCATTTCCACTTGACTTCATTTCGATTGATTGTTGTGACATTTGGTGGTTTTATTGCTTGACTTTCCTTGAATATTCAAGCTGTGGTTGCTTTTGCTGAAATGTCATCACTACACTCTGGCCCTTCTTCTTTTGTGTTTCTCATCTTCTCCGCTTTTCTGCTTGACTTTC